TTAAAGATAAGCCCAACACATATCAAGGTGTTTATTTACTATACCTTGTCTAACAAAAAGCGTCCTAGCGCTCATCCGGTTTAGATGGATAATCGAGTTCTACCAAGGAGCATTTCGGCTGGTCGAAGTCCAGATTACCGAGGACTTGATCTGGCACGCAAGAACACACCTCGTCAATAGTGATAGTTGCTGGGAAAAAGCTAGACTATTTGTTTAGGGCTAAGAGTTACTTTTCTCTACATAACCTCCTCACTCTGTACAAGGCACACATAAGACTTATGCGTAAGTACTGCTCATCACATCGTCCATGTCCGATTGATCGATGACTCTTCTTAGACGGACAGTTTCGGGACCCGGACAGACGGGCCGTGAGCGATCTAGCTCTATTCTACTGTTACATCAACTTCCTTTGCTCCTCAGAGCTCTTCTCTATGATGTCACCGCGTGATCTTCCTGCCAGACAGACCCGACAATCTACCGGAGGCGTTTCCCAGTTTTACTAGCCTTAGGCAGATGAAAAATCGGATAAACAAAGTTTCTTTAATCCCCTGATGGCAGCCGCGGTTGCCCTGTATTTAGGCCTCTTGCTACACAGCTGCATCGTTATATAAAAAAACGTTAATCTCTCAGCAAGCAAATAGCTATTTGATTCGTTTTGTGGTATCATTGTAATACTCCGTAAAAATACAGATGCTACATATCTACCTAATAAAATATGGGAAACGTAATATTTATTCTTCGTCCTGAATATAGTGATTTATTACAAATCATATATACAAAACACATGTAGGTACCTATATAACGAATATATTGTGTTATGCCTTTTCGCTAGCTTTTTGCAGCTCGTACATGGTCGACTTTGTGACCCTTATACTATTCGTTCCTCCAATGTACGCAAAGCGCACAAGATATTGCTTGGAGCAGCCATTTAACATTCTTCACTTTCTGTAGTTACATTTTTATAAGTTTATCCTTTCTCTAATATTTATAACTTTTTTAGATTTTTTCAGATCAGGTGAGGTTATTCTAAAGCTGGACAGTTGATAGCAGATAATGTAAAAAGAGCTTCCATTTTGGACAATAAGCAAGTGCAAAAATAGCTGACAATTGTTACGCTGGAGATCTTACTATATCGTTAATTGTGTTAAATACCTACCCTACATTAGCGTACTTATACCATTTTTGACTTATTTGCAAACCTGTGTATGTTCTGATACTGAATCGAAATGATTGCACATCTTTTAAGAATAGGAACGCATCTGGACGGCCAATTGCACAGCAACTATTTCCATCCAACTCTGCACATGATGATCATTTGTAGTACCTTTGTGTTTGAGGCATCTATCTTATTTGCCAAATCGTCGTGGTACTCTTGGTGCTGCTGCGTCAAATATTCGATTACTTTAAATGTATGCCTCCTGACTTGTCGATAGGTCGCTAAAAATTAAAATTGTAATATTAAGTGTTTATTATTAACTACTTATGTTTAACCGTCTCTTCCTCTCCATTGGTCCAGCCCACATTATTTGAAGTATCCGATCATTAACTGTACCTAGAAAACAGCAAGCTGGAACAATTCCAACTAAGGCATGTCAATGGCACCTAACAAAATAGTGTTAACGAGACATTTAGACCGTCATAAACACTCTACTATGTAGAAGTATGTTACTGTTATTTTCGTTATTAAAATTCACTTTGCAGGATAGCGAGCTGTGCAGCTCTTATTATTTTACTGCTTGTGCATCATGTACCGCTGAGATGACGTTATTGATGAATTAACGTAATAAGCCGGTGAAATTAGAAACGTATTATAGAAGATTTGACGAAGGGTGGGTAAATTTGCCATTGACCACGGACTGATATAAGCGAACAAATAAAGGATTCGTTGTCTCCTATTTTAGAGTGCATTGGAGGCGGACATATTTACTGAAAACAAGAGATTATGAAAAATTATGAACTTCAACAAAACACAATTCTTGGGAATATTCACGCTTCATGTTGTTTCACAAGGATATGTGGTGGAAGTTCATTCTTATGAGGAACAAAACAGATAATTTCGAAAACATGCAGCAAAAAAGGCGTACGAATTTTGATCAAATGGAAAAGTTGAACTTCTTAAAATTCGATAATTTAACACAAATGATAATGACTTAAACTTTCATTGGTTGATCCGATACTTGACCGGAAAGGCTTTTTAGGGATTACAACTGTTGCATTTGTCCGTAAATCCTCCGAATTTATTATAAACAATTTCCCTCACCCTTGCTCATACAAAATGGAGTAAAACTCACTATTTTTCACGATTCAACACATGCATAATCCAAATTTTCCATATGCATATATTGAAAATCCTACAAGAGTTCATCATTATTGATTAATGTATGACGAACACCCTAAAATTTTTCCAATTTGGCCTGCAGCGGTAAAAACTTGAAAAAAAGGAGGATTAACAAATTTTAGGAATATTTCAAAATCTTGATCCCTTAGAAACGAAATTTAGGAAATTTCATTAAAATTGATGGATAATATCATCGCAGAAAGTTTCAACGGGCGATGGCAATGGGCGGCATGGATATGCGTGGATGTCACAAAACATCAAAAAACTCAATGATTCCTTAGCCTAAGTATGGGAAGTAAAATATGTGCCTTCAAAACTTTGTCCTGTGGAACAATATATATTTATTCCAGATTTTTCGTTAAAGTTGTGTTCAAGCTCATTCACTCACACAAGAAGTGATCAATAGTCAACGTTCGCAGCAATTATTTTTTTGTTTGTTTTTTACGTCCTCGCATTATTTTACCTACAAACTCATATATTCTAGATACGCTAAATAAAAACACAACATAATTATGTGTTCAGTACTTGTCTGGCCAATAAAACCACATGTATTGACAGAATCTTCTTCACTGTAAACGTTTCAACCATAAAGGTGACCTTCATCAGTGACATGACAATTTATTTTATTTATGTCTTCCAGGTGACAGTTCGTTTGTTTTTCCTTTTCATTATCATATTCCTATACAGTGTGTTACTAAAATAGTTTGAAAGTCCCGAAACATGCTGAGATTGCTCCGAATTTTAAGATGACAACCATAGCCCAGGAACGCCTGGGGTAGGCGTTCCCGTTCCCAAAAATGGATGTTCAGCCCTCCAAAATAACAAGCGAGCATGAGGATATCTATCGGTCTTCGATATACCAGATACGTCATCCTTGTCCACCGTTCCGAATACGCCCAAAAGCCCCACAAAAACACGAAACCCACCAAGAACTGTTAACCGTTTTCGTGACACACCGGTTACAGTAAGCAGGAAATTTTTTATAGAAGCGATTTGATTGACGTACCTATAGTTTTTATTACATAACCGCATTAACTTTGTCTTCAATAAACCGCACATGAATTAATATAACAGAATAAAACATACGCTGATACGCTTTTTGTGCGAAGAATGAGAAGCAGTAGCAAAGCGACAGTATGTCCACCATATGGTGATCTGCAGCGCTGTACCATACCCGCTTCATTTCATTCCAGCATACATTACTGGGATGCATTCTCATTTTTCATGTATGACTTACTGTAACCAGTCACATTTTTTCTTGGTAATCACAGCGAATCAACTGACGCTGGTAGTAGGCCAAGAAATAGGGAGATTTTATATAAGGAAATCATATGTTTCTGGCGACGGTAAATTTTTGGTGGCAGATTATTGCTCTCTAGTAGAAGGTTCAATTATCCCCCATGCTCGACTGGCCAATAAAACTACTTGTATTGGGAAAATCTTCTTCACTGTAAACGATGCTGTAAACGTTTCAATCACAAAGGTGATCTTAAATTGAAGAAACGTTTATAGTAGAGAAGATTTTGTTAATTCATGAGGTTTTATTGGTCACAGACGCATGGGGTATTATCGACATTTAGACCACAGAAGTCTCACATGTTACGTTGATAAGTTCAAATTGGTGTTATGATAAGGAGGGAGCATTCGCCGTCATTTTGATAAACGTTTAAACGAAAATCTCGAAAACCATCGATCCTATGTAAAAGTAATTATACATGGTGCGGCAGAGAGGACGGACGTTTTTGGGATGGGTAGTACTCTCTGTCTACGAGAGAGGTGGGGAGGGTGCCGTTTGACTCGTGAGATCCTAGCATTATTTTACCAGTTGTCGTTATGGAGCCTTGGACGGTATGATTGTTTCGTCCGAAATAATGAGTCAGTCATCGTCGTACAGCATGAGTTTCGTCGCCACTTCAACATTTATCGGAATAGAGCTGTTCCCTCTCGAAACACCATCCTTCGTTGGGTTGAATCACTTCGCAGGCGTGGTGAACTGAAGACCAAGAGGAGCGCCGCGAACAGTTCGAACTCCTGAAAATGTTGAACGCGTTCGACAGGTCTTTCTTCGCAGTCCGACTCGATCTGCCCGGAAACATGCGTCTGCACTTCGCCTTAGCGCTCTTTCACATGGTCAGGGGGTTTATCCGTCCGTGTGATCGCCCGTCAACCGGACAAATAGTAATACACAGTTTAGCATAGGTTCTTTCACACTTCCCGGACACGGGTTAATCCCCGTCCGGGCATACAAAACGCCCGGATGTCCCCGCTAGAACTCACGGAGCTCGGACGGGTAATCGCCCGGAATATGCCCTAGCGGACTACAGTGTGCCATGAATGCATTCACATGATCCGGGTGTTTAATCGTCCGATTGGTTTATACTTGTTTGCAGTCCAGTAGCGTGTAGTCCGTTGTCGAACGAAGACCGTGTGTACTCTGCAGTGTAGCTACGAGCATTTGATCATGTCGAAAGAAGTAGAACAAATAGATTCTGAAATCCTGATTAGTTTAGTTCAGGATAAACCAGAAATCTGGGACAAAGCTGCCGAGGATTACAAAAATCGCAACAAAAAAACAGAAGCGTGGAGAAGTATTTGTGCCCAGTTGAAGGAAAATTTTGAAAATTTGAGTGACGGGGAAAGAAAAGAATTTGGTAAGTTTAAAGTTATTTTATTATTTGCCTCTTATTTCTTATGAACATTGAACTTAACATATGTTATGATTGGGTAATAGTATAATTATATAATAAATAAAACAAGATTCCTAAATTTTCGACAACTGCCATGATACTTTGCCTACTTCAGTTATAAAATAGTCACTTAGAACATTTCTGATATTATTAGCTGCCCTTCCACCTTGCATATTTGCTTGTGCCGGCAAATCAGTCTTACCCACAACTGTCATGGTATCCTCGAAGTTATAGCCATCTCTTTCTCTCACGAAATTGTGAAGCACTACACAAGCTTTCACAATACTAACGGCAAAATTTGTATTAACATTCAAAGATCGATGAAGAATTCTCCATTTGTTTGTCAGTATACCAAAGGAACACTCAACATATCTCCTGGCTCGGCTGAGGCGATAATTGAAAATCCTTTTCTTCTGTGAAAGTTCCTTTCCTCCAAAAGGCCGTAGTAGATTAATATTTAATCCAAAAGCTTCATCTCCTATGAGAAAATAAGGTACGTTTGGAACTTCAGAACCAGGTAGAGGCTTTGCAGATGGCAATTCCAAGGACTTTTTTTGTATACTCTTCCACAAACTACTTTCTTTGAATATACTTGAATCACACTCACTCCCATATGCACCTACATCAACATAAATGAACCGATAATTCGAGTCAGCAACTGCCATCAACACAACTGAGAAATAGGACTTATAATTATAGTATAAGGAACCACTAAACTCGGGTTTTACAATTCTAATGTGTTTCCCGTCCACAGCACCAATGCAGTGGAAAAAATTCGCTCGTTTTTCGAATCCAGCAGCTACTGACTCAAAACGTTCTTTCGTAAGTTTCGGAATACATTCTTCAACTAAGCACGACCAAAGAATGTCACAGACCTCTCGAACAATTTTTGAAATTGTAGAAATTCCCAATCGATAGCTATAATACAGATCTGTAAAGCTACATCCACTAGCCAGGTACCTGAAAGTAAAAAAAAAATAAACAATAAATTGAAAATCTATAATTCGAGTCTAGTATTGTTGAATATTTTTTTTGTTACAGGTCAACTAGTTCTTAAAAGGTGGAATAATATCAGAGACCAGTGGCTTAAATGGAGGAATCGAGACAAAAACTCGAAAAAATCAGGAGCAGCTGCATCAAAACTGCGAAAGTATTTGTATCACGAACAACTAAATTTTCTAGAGCAAGGCTTATATCACCGGTCAACTGATGCAAGCATGGCCTATGAGCACTCAGATGAAGCAGAAAGTCAGCAGCAAACTGAAGAGCTCCAGTCAGCAGAAGATCAAGGGACGGCGACTCCGGATGCAACTAAGCAGACTTCGCAAACTCCAACTGCAAAAATCCCTTCCGTGAAGACCACATCTGTGCAACAGTCAACGAGGAAGAGGAAGCGAACCCTCGACGAATTTGAGCTAAGGATGCTTAAATCGGTAGAGGCAGGAGACCAAGAGGACCGTCATATGCAATTTTTTAAGGGCATTCTTCCATCTGTTCAAAAGTTCACAGACAACCAGGTTGTAGATTTTCAGATGGGAGTTCTGCAGGTGATTAAAAACATTCAAAACACTGTCTCTATTCCAACAACCCAACCTCAACAGCTGCAGATTTATGCTCCTCCATGCTCTCAACAACACACACACCAGTACCCCTGCAGCTCTCCATTACAGAACTCTCAGCAATATCCCTCTTCTGACCTTTCATACACTCCACTGCTAGGCAGGGTCTCTAGTCAACATCATGAAACGATTCCATCGAGTACCATATCTACAAACATCATATCTCCTGGTTCTAATGACACACAATCTAGTAGTAATTATAGCAATTTGACATCCCCTTTCTCACATAATTCAGATATTGACTTTTGATCTTTTGAAGTATTATAATAATAAATATATTTTTGCATTAAAAAAATAGAATATTAACCTGAAATGTATATTTTGTTTTTATTTATTTTAAATAAACATACCTTAATGTAACAGCCAACATTTGTTCAGGTTGGATGCAATTCCTCATATTTGTATCTTGTCTTTGTAGCTGTGTCTGCACACGTTGCAGCAACTCATCAAAAGAAGAAACGCTCATACGAAAATAATTTAAAAACTTAGTTTCGTCTTCTTTCAGTTGTTGAAAAAGCACAAAGAATGCTCCTTCCAGGTATCTGCTTTCTAGCAAAGGGTGAACCCAAATTTGCCTATTACGTTGTTTTTTTCGCCGATGTTTTAATAAAGCGAACAAAATCGTTTTGCGTCTACTGTCCATCATAATCAGCGGCAAGCTGAAGTACCTAGCAAAAAGTGGTCCGGATTTTCCCACACACCCGTCCACCCGTGTGAAGAGAGCTCCAGGGTGCTGCCCGGCCGGGTGATCATACGGACGGGTAAATATCCTGACCATGTAAAGAGCGCTTAGTGATCGTTCGGTAAGGCGAATTTTGCATATTATGGATCTCCGCTTTCACCCCTACAAATTGGCCATTGTGCAACAGTTACAGCCCGGAGATTATGCACAACGAATGAACTTCGCACGTGAGATGGAAGCACTGATCGATCAAAATGAGAACCTCATTTTGTTTATGAGTCACGAAGCCCACTTTCACCTAAACAGCATGGTTAACCAGCAGAATTGTCGTTATTGGGCTAATGAAAATCCGCAACAGTTACACGAAAGACCGCTGCACAGCCCAAAAGTAACGATTTGGTGCGCTGTATCGCAAACTTGCATCATTGGCCCTTACTTCTTCGAAGACGGTAATGTTACCGTGAACTCAGAGCGCTACGTCGACATGATCACCAACTTCTTTCTCCCTGAATTACGACGGCGACGTGTTCCAATCCGACGTGTGTGGTTCCAGCAGGATGTGGCGACCGCCCACACAGCCCGAGCATCCATGGACGTTATTCGCCCTCTCTTCCCTGGTCGCCTTATTTCCAGGTTTGGAGATGTTCATTGGCCTCCTCGGTCCCCAGATTTATCCATATGCGATTTTTTCTTATGGGGACACCTCAAGGCTAGAGTATACGCGAACAAGCCCCGAACTCTGGACGAATTGAAGGGCGAAATTCGCGTGGAAGTCACCCAAGTTGAGAGAGCGATGTTGGAGAGAGTCTACGCGAACTTCCAAGAATGCCTCCAGCACTGCATCAACGATTTCGGCCACCACATGCCTGATGTGATTTTCCACACTTGACTGTCTCAAATGCTATTTCCTTGTGAACCTGATTCCATCAATAAATTTGTTTTCGAGTAAAAATTAACTATTTTATGATTTTTTTGAAACCGTCCATCCTTTCTGCCGCACCCTGTAGTAACATTATTCTTTACCATTTTGCTTGTATAAAAAATTGTCGTATGTTCAACAGATTACGAATTAAAGGGTGAAGGTACATGTAATGATATTTTTGCTTATAATGGATAAACTAAGAATCTAAAAGTAATAAACACTAATATTTTATTTTATATTATTGTAAAGAATGAAATTAGCTCCAACACTGAGATAAAAATTTAATCAAACCAATTACTATTTTAATTAGACCAATTAAACAAAATTATTAACTGTGTGACAGCTAACAAGTCTAATTAGACGAGCTTCTAAAACAACTTACTTGAATCTATGAAACTAGTTTAATTAAACCAAAACGCAATCGTTAAATTTATTAAACCGTTCACTTATTTACAATTTATTTAAAATTAAACTATTAAAATGGGTTTACCTACTCCAAGTAAAACAATTTAATTATATTGATAAAATTTGTTTAATTAGCTTAAAGAGGATAAGTAGTCTTCAAAGACTAAGGTTGTTAGTTGAGCCATTATAAGCGAACATATTCTTAAATTTCTCGTAACCTGTTGACTATACGACACAGTTTTTATAGAAGCCGAATGATAAAGAATTTCCCTACAAAATTACTTTTATTACTTTTTTACATAGGTTCGATGGTCACCGAAATTCTCCAGTCCTATCATGACGTCAATTTGAACTTATTATCAGGAAGCAATAACCTAAGGATACCACCAAAAGATTTACTGTCGCCAAAATTGTGGGAAAAATTACCTTCCTCCTGGCATGTATTATCAGCGGAATTGAGCTTGAGAATAATCCGCACCATTATAGCTCATTTTTAAATAAGCAATGTAATATTGTAGTAGGTACTCATTCTCTATTTTTCATTGAGGTATTTACGTGTTTTCTAACGTTTGATGGTTTTTACCATTTTTGATCTAAGATCGAAAATGGGCATATCGCTGCTCGAATGATCACTCACCATGTTATAAGTACCTAAAGTCGAAATCACGAAATATGACGATTACGTCATCATTTCAGTCTGTAGTAAAGACAAACGACAGCGATTTGTGAATATATTTAATAAGTTTCTGATATGTTAGACATGTATCCGACACAGATAGACGATTTTTGTTGCATGATCGATCATATTTGAAAGATGAATAGTTAGGTTATGTTGAAGCAGGTTATGTTGTTTTCGAATAATGCTTTGGTCTTTGGTGTTCCTGTCTTAAGGTATCCTACTCATAACTGTTTTTTTTTCAAAACAAAAACTCCCCACTAACATTATTATTAATGTATCACTCAAAACCATGAAATAAAATGAAAATAAAAATAATCAGTGAAATAACCTAGCCTCGCAAAATCATAATATAAATTTGTTGTCATTATGATCGTGACATCGTGATTTTATCATCGATGTACGTATATTGATTGACGTAATAGTCATCTTTCGTGATTTTGACTATATGTTTACATGCAAACCTCAAAATCGTTTTGTGCACGTGATTCATTTTGACATTGTGAGTGGCATTTCCATGAGAGTGTCGAGCAATAAGGTAGCTCCAGGTTTGAAGAAATATTATGTTATGTTAAAATTTTGCACAATTTCTGATACATTTCAACTATATCTAGTACTATTAAGACAACTAGGTTCAACAGGGTGCAAGAAACCCTGAGCTCACCTATTTGCATTCTTTTGTTCGAGATTGCAGTTCTCCTGTATTGTCAAAAATCATGCGTGTATCAACTCAAATTTATTAAAAAAATAAGTGAAGTGCATAGGACTGAAAAAAAACTTAAAATCACCCGAATCAAGTATTTTCATTAATTTAATTGTAGATCTAAAATTTACAGCACTATATAAGATCTCTGTATATAATTCTTAGATGCAGCAATAAACCTTATTACCATTAATAATAATTTTGCAATTATTAAGTACAATATGCTTTGCTTGACCAGGATTTACGATAAAGCTTACATCTTGTTTTGAGATATTAAAAGCATAATGAGATTCGTGAGAAACACTGCCACCTGCTACCATCTACAGAAAAACTAATTTTGTCAACCCAAGGATTATCTGTGGTACAAAAGAACAGGGTCTCACTAGGAGATTGACAACCTTGATTACGATGTATAATTTTCACTCTATTTCACAAAATTAGACATTATTGTGTTTGTAATTCTGAATTTCTTGCAAGCGGATATAAGAAGTCCTGTTAGACCACATATCCGATTTGCTAAATACTTTATTTTAAGAACCTTCGGCTTATTGGAAATTTTGTTCTACGCATTCATTTTTGTATCTAATATATTCATGAACTGCTAGTAATTTATTTATACAGGGTGTCCGCAAAGTTGGGGTTTTCCTTTTCAGAAACAACTACCCTTGAAATAACAAAGGTAATGTGTAGTGAAACGAGGGCGACCAAGTAAAATAAATAAAGAAAAAAGTACTCACTCTCCAGTTGACGAGAAGGGCTAAGTACGTCTCTACCCGAAATCATACCGCTCCAACAGAAAATGAAATCAGCTGATGCGTTACCGAGCAGACGCCGGCGGTGGTGCAGACCAGTAGACCACGAACAGAGGTAACAAATATGACCTTCGTGCAGAAACCACATTGATTGTCTTACACTTAATGGCACATCTTCTAACAAGAAAGGCAAAATGTTGCGTAAAAAGTCTAGGTATTGCATCCCGTCCAATCGATTTGGGAGAATAAATGGTCCAATGAGCATACCGTTCACTATGCCAGCCCAAAGATTCACCGAAAATGTTTGTTGAAAATGTGCCCGAAGGACAGCGTGCGGATTTTCTACTGACCAAACATGAGTGTTGCGAAAGTTATTCCACCCCATTACGCGTGAACGTAGATTCGTCTGTCACCAATATGCACTTCAAAAAGTCCGGATTATTGTCATGTTGATGCAACAACTACTCACAAAACCGCACTCTTGTTGGAAAATCGTCAGGTTGAAGGGCTTGTACACGTTGGACGTGAAACGGATACAGCCCCTCTTCACGCAGCGTTTGCCACACTTTAGTTTTTGATACTTGCACTTCTCTAGCCACGTCTCTAGTGCTTGTTGTTTTTTGAAACGCAATCGATTATACGGGTTCGTTTACCTCTGCACGCGTGACCGTAACCGTCGGTTGAAGGTTGCATACTGACCTGACACACTGACCCCGACCCCTGACCCAGTTCTGTCGTCGGGTTGAGCTAGTGTCCTAGTACCAGTTGGGGATGTCGCGAGTCGCGGCTACAGGACGGTATTCAGATATTTTTGATGTTGCAGAGCCCTTTATCTCGGTTCCCTTAAGACATTGGTGTATATGGTACTAAGAAAAATTGCTTATATTTTCAAGATCTACACGCCATGTAAAGGAAAACCCCAACTTTGGGGACACCCTGTATATATATTTATCAAAATAAAAAAAAAATACTCAAGTTTAATTCAATTTGTGTTCATAATTTTACTAGATTTAATAGATTTACATTAGTCGTGGAAAGCACTGCATCAATATTATTAACTATCCTTCGGTTGACTATTTCAGTCGGTCTATGAAAAGAAGCACAAATACG